AGCCTCCTCACGCTCACTCCTGCCGTCGCGGCCGCCCCTAGCCGCTGTCGCGGCTGTCCCTGGCCGCCGTCGCGGCCGTGTCTCCTTGCCGTCGTGGCTGGCCCTACTCGCCGTCGCGCCAGCTCCTTGCCGGCCCCCGTTGCCGCCGTTTGCTGGCCCCTCGCGTCTGCCGTCCACCGGCCGGCTCCTACATTCGCGTCGTCGCCAGCCCCCCGCCGCCTCGGGTTCGGCCCGATCCTCCCGATCAGCACTGCCCTGCGAACCCCCCCAGTACCGTACTAGACCGCCTTGCACCGCACTGTATCGCACTGTACCGCACTGCACCGCACTGCATCGCACCGCACCGCCCTGCACCGCACTGCACCACGCTGCACCGCACTATACCGCACTGCGCCGCACTGCACCGCACTGGATTGCTCTCCGCTGCCCTCTATTGTCACTGATGGCGGAGATGCTTCGCTTTGACGCTGAGGGCCAGCCGATTGAGTTTGATGCGTGGCTTGCTGACCTCCGTCGCCACCTCACTGGTCAGCGGCAGGATGGCCACTCTCTGTCTATCCATCTTGACTGTACTCTCCCCTGCCCTGACCCCTTCCGCTGCACTGTCTACTGATCCCTCGTCCGCTGAGCGTGAGTCCGCTGCGGCCGCTGCCCTTGCTCGCTCTGTCTGGCTGTCCCGTGACACTATTGCATAGCTTGCCATTAGCAATGCCCTCCCCCTGTCCGAGCGACCTCGCTTCAGGTCTATCACCACTGCCCAGGCTTTCCTAGATGCTGTTGTCCAGCGCTATTCCACCCCGCCTGCTGCCTCGATCGGTCGTCTGATCCTCCCCATGCTCTTCCCTGACCTTGCGTCGTTCCCCACTTTCGCCTACCTGGCCGCTCACCTGAGCACTATAGACGAGACCTGGCGTGCTGCCTGCACTCCCACACAGCTTCTAGCCCACCAGCCGCCCCTCACCTCTACTCTCTACCTGCTAACCACCCACCTCTCTGACCGTCTTGCCCCTGCCCGTGACCACTTCCTTAGCGTCCACCCCGCAGACCTCACCCTGACTGACTTTGTTGACACCCTGTCCGCTATAGAGGCCTGCCACCGCTCTATCGCTCAGACCAGCGGCACTGTGCCGGTCCCTATCTTTCAGGGTTACGCCCTTGCTCAGTGCACCTTCTCTGACGGTTCTGTTGCTGTGGCTGAGACTGCCGCTGCAGTACACGTCCGTTTGGGGAAGGGTCGCCGCCCCAAGGCTGGGCGTGGCGGCGGGGGTGGGGGTGCAGGTGTAGGTGGTGCTGGAGATGGGTCTCCTGGCGGTGGTAGAGACGAGGGGACCCTGCCAGGTGCAGCCGAGAAGCCGTCTCAGCAGCCGCCGGCGTTGCAGCCGGACTCGAGTCATCCGCAGCAGTCGCAGCCGCAGCAGAGACGGGCGAGTGGTCTCCCGCCCGGGTGGCCTGGCGCTGGTGGTAGCGCTGGACGTGGTGGTGGTGCGCGTGGTGGGCTGTCGGGTGGTGGTTTGGGTGACGCGCGCGGTCAGTACCTGCTCCAGACCGGTCCTCGCCATGGCTTCGTTTGCGGTAAGATCGGTCACACCTCCGTCCGCTGTTTCCGTCGTCTGGACGACCTGTTTCGTCAGCGTTTCGGCCCGTCACCCGAGCTCCCAGACTGGCACAGTTTGCTTCGTCGTAGGGTTCAGATTTTTTATCTGGATATGGATGAGATTGTTACTGCTCTGCATGTGATGTATGCTAATGACTCTAGTGTGCTTCCGTCTTATTATCCCTTGTTGCCTAGTGTAGGCATGCCTTGCTCAGACTCCCCTGCTGCGTCAGGCGTAGGATCCCCTGCTTTGTTTAGCCTTGGTGCTTCCGTTGCTGCTTCGCCTCTGGCCGCCACTGCCGCGCTCTCCTTCACCCTCGACTCTGGCGCTTCCCGGTGCTTCTTCCGCGACTCCACCACGTTGACACCGCTTTCTGTCCCTGCCGCAGTCTCTCTTTCTGACCCCTCCTCCGGCCCAGTAGTCGCCCGCAGTTCCACCACCCTCCCCTGCCTGGCGGTTCCTTCGGGCTCGCTCACAGGACTGCACATTCCCTCGTTCTCCAGGAACCTAGTTGGTGTCGGCTGCCTTCAGGACCTTGGCGTCACCACTACGTTCCCTGGACACGAGCGGTACGCTCTCTGTACCGAGGCCGCCACTGGTGCCCCCCTGTCCACGTTCCCACGGGACCCGGTGTCCGGTCTTTTCACACTGGACACGGTGACCCCCCCGGCTGGGACCCCCCCTTAGGTGACTGCGTCTCCCCCGGTTGCTGCTGTCTGCTCCTGTCGATCTCTCACTCACCCGACTGTTCTCTGGCACCACCGCCTAGGTCACCCTGCGCTCCCGCGTCTCCGTCACATGTCACAGCACGGTCTCATCCTAGGCCTCCACGGGTCGTTCCCCGAGTTTCCCTCCTCCTCAGCCCCACCTTGCATGCCCTGTGTCGAGGGCCGGCTCCGCCGTGCCCCTCACTCCTCCTCATTTCCCCCTACTGCAGCACCGCTACAGACTCTGCACATGGACGTCTGGGGCCCCGCCCCGTCCATGGGCCGCGTTGAGAGCGTTACTTCCTAGTGCTTGTCAACGACTACACGCGCTACACCACTATGTTCCCCCTGGAGCGGAAGGCCGACGTGCTTGCCGTTCTTATCCCATGGCTTGTCTCTGCGCGTGTCCACCACGGTCTCCCTGCCTTGCGTCTCCACTCCGACCGTGGTGGCGAGTTTGCCTCTAGTGTCCTTGGTCGTTCGTGCGGAGGGCATCACCCAGACGTTCACCTTGCCGGACTCCCCGCAGCAGAATGGGGTCGCTGAGCGACGCATCGGTTTGGTCATGAAGGTGGCTCGCACCTCCATGATCCATGCCGGGGCACCCCACTTTCTGTGGCCGTTTGCCGTTCGCTACGCCGCTCACCAGCTTAACCTGTGGCCGCACCCCCAGCAGCCTCACGTTTCGCCGACCCTTCTTTGGTCTGGGTCACCTGGTGGCGCGTCTGCGTTCTACGTCTGGGGCTGCCTTGCTCACGGACAAGCTCACTGCCCGCACCCTTCCCTGTGTCTTCCTCGGCTTCCCCCTTGACGCATCCGACTGGCACTTCTACCACACGTCGTCTCACCGGTTCTTTCACTCCCGTGACGTCACCTTTGACGAGTCCGTCTCCTTCTTCTGCCGCTTCCCCCACCGAGGTCCCCTGGTTACCCCCCCCTGTTCCTGGTTACCCCTTCCCCGGTCGTCGCCGCCCCTCCTCCTCCCCCTCCCCGTCCTGCCCCCTCTGGTGTGTCCCACGTCACCCCACATACGTTGGTTGTCTCGGTTGAGGAGTCTACTGACTTTGGTGGTCCTGCGGCACAGTCCTTGCTGCCTGCCCCTTCTCAGGTGTCTCCTCCTCCGCCGTCGCCACTGCTATCGCAGCCGTCATCACCGCCGCCGCTGTCGCCGCAGCCGTCGTTGCAGCCGCCGTCGCCGCAGCCGTCGCCGCAGCAGTTCGTTGCCTCTGGGGGTGCTGGAGTTGGGGTGGGTACTAGTCCTGGGACTCCTGTCGTGGCTTGTCCCGGCGGGCCTGGGGTTGGTACCGGTGCTTGATGGGTTCTGAGCTCTGGGGGTGTTCCTTCTGGGGGTGCTGGCGTGGAGTGTTCTGGAGGTAGCCGCCATGCAGCTTGTGGTCCTGGTGTCGGTGTCACACCGCCGCCGCAGCAGTCCCAGCCGGTGTCCGCTCTTCGCCTGCTCAGCCTTCCGTCCCCTAACCCCATGCCTGTGCCTCCTCCTCCTCCTGTCTACGGCTCTTGTGTCCCCTCCTCTGTCCCCTGACCCTACTCCTCCGTCTCACGTCTGGTCTCGCCGTCCCTCCCGTGCTCGACCTGCCTCCCCTGTCTCGCGCTCTCACCCTATGTTGCTTCGTTCCCACGCGTCTCGTCCTCCCCTTCTCCCGTCGCCCCCTCCGTCCTCCCTTGTCGTTGCTCCCCCCCCTCTGTCTGGCTACCTGCGTGCCACTCGTCCTCTTATTCCTCGGGTCATTGCCTCTCTCGTTACCGACCCGTCTGTTCCGGTTTCGAGCCTTGACGCCCTTGTCGCTGCGGTCGCTGACTTGCAAGTACATCGGGCATGGGGTTAGTGCTAGGAGGACGCAGGCCAGTGGTCCTTACTAGACACAGAGACGCTTCTTGGGCAGACGACGCCGAGACCCTCAGGTCCTCGCACGGCTACTGCTTCAGCCTTGGGTCAGGTGCCATCTCGTGGAGAGCTACTCGCTCCTCGTTTGTTGCCCAGTCCAGCTGTGAGGCTGAGATCTACGCCGGTGCCATGGCGGCACAGGAGCTCCGCTGGCTTACCTTCTTGCTCACTGACTTAGGTGAGCGGCCTAGCTCTGCCCCGGTCCTGTACGCTGACAACAGGGCCATGATCCTCCTGTGTCACGAGCCTCGACTCGAGGGCAGAGCGAAGCACATCCAGTTGCGGTACTTCCTCCTGCGTGAGCCCCAGCAGAGCTGCTAGGCGTGCGTAGTACACTTGGCCTCCAGTGCCAACACAGCTGGTATCTTTACGAAGACGCTTGCGCCTAAAGATCATCAGCGGCACTATGTACAGCTAGGTCTCGTTCCTGTAGCCTCTCACTTGCTAGGGCCTTGACTTTGTACTGTCCTTTATATATATATTTTACCGTGACTGGCCTTGTGGCCTCTCCCAGTGGCTGGACTAGTAGTGCCGCCCTGGTCTTGCTCTTGTCTTGTCTGTACTCCTTTGACTGGTCCTTAGACCCTTGCCTCAGAGGCTGGACTAGTAGTGCCGCCTTGAGCTGCTTCTTCCCCTGTTAGGCACTGCCCCTATATAGTCTAGGGGGTGTGTCAAATGTAACTTAGGTCGTTACTGTAGACTATATTGGATTGTACCTTAGAGGGTACAACACCCTAGTCTATATACCCTTGTACTCACACATTCTAGTTCAATTTTTCTTTCTGATAACTCTAACACAAATGGGTTCTTATAAGGGCAAGCCTGAGCAATCAGCCTCCATAAAACGAATCCGAGACCCTGGTGTGAACTTTGCTAATACAAGATTCGACTTGGGCAGAGGACTCTGAGTCGACATTCCGAACCCTGAGTATTTCAGACTCGTTAAATCTTGGACGCTGAGATTTCAGAGTAGCGAAATTTTGAAAAATGACCCTTCAGACTCGGGAAAAATTTTGGGGGGCAAAATCAGAGTGCCTTTTTTTGAAATGTCAGCCCTGCGTGTGTTGGCTTGGCTTTTTGAGGCCGAGATTTCCTCCTCCCGCCCCTGCAATCTTGCTCAGCTGTGCGATTGGATCGATCGGCGAAACTTGATTGGCCGCAGCTTTGTGAAAGTGTCGCCACAAAAATTGATGGCCTCAACATCATCATGATTCCTGCGGGAATCCTCCCTCCCTCCATTCCCCCCCCACTTTGTCCCATCCCTGCCCTCCCCGAATGTCGTTTTGCCCGTCTCCCAATTTTCGCCAAATCAGCGTGAAATTGTGAAGTAACCCTGATTGCTCAGCGGATTGATTTTTTTTGGAGGCCTGAAAAATCAGGGTAAACATGGGAGGGGGACCCTGAGCGATCAGGGTACCTTAAAACCAATCTGAGGCCCTGGACAAAACCACCTTGTTTGCCTCATTCTAGTCATTCATTCTCACTTTGGTAGTGAGAGCATGGGTGATCCTCCTTCCAGATCCAGATTCCCCCCCCTCCATAGCCCTCTTCCCCCCCCCCAAACAGTTCCCTCCCCCCCTCCAGCGCCAATTCATCCCCCCTCCAGAGTCATCCCTTCCCACTCCAATGGCCCCCTCCCCCTCCATACATAGCCCTCCCTCTCTTCCCTCCCCCCCCCCCCCCTCTCCCCCTCATTCCATAGTGACAAAAGCCCTCTGAGTGGGAAGTGGAAAGGGGGAGTGAGCATGGGAGAGGGGGAGCGAGCATAGGAGAGGGGGAGTGAGCATGGGAAAGGGGGAGTGAGCATGGGAAGGGGGAGAGAGCAGGGGAGAGGGGGGAGAGAGTAGGGGAGAGGGGGAGAGAGCAGGGGAGAGAGCGGAGAGAGCAGGGGAAAGTCGGGAGAGAGCAGGGGAGAGAGGGGAGAGAGCAAGGGAGAGGGGGAGAGAACAGGGGAGAGGGGGAGTGACCAGGGGAGGTGGGCAGAGCGACATGGGAGAGAGTTGGGGGGGTGAAAGAGGTGGGCAGCATGAGAGTTCGGCTCCACCCACGGAGAGAGCCTCTCCTGCTGCCCAGCACCTCCTCCCAAGAGAAATGGCCACAGCTCCTGGCCGATGGAACCCTGTGGCAAGGATGGGGAGGGAGAGGCAGGACGAGGGTAGTGGGGGGAAGGGGAAGGCGGTGAAGGGCGTCTGGGGATTTTGGTAGGGATGGATTGGTTTTGGTTTAGGTAGGTGAGGGCAGGGGTACGCTGGGGGGAAGGCAGGGGTACGCTGGGAGGAAGGCAGGGGTACGCTGGGGGGAAGGCAGGGGTACGCCGGGGGGAAGGCAGGGGTACGCCGGGGGGAAGGCAGGGGTACGCCGGGGGGAAGGCAGGGGTACGCCGGGGGGAAGACAGGGGTACGCCGGGGGGAAGGCAGAGGTACCCCAGGGGGGAGGCAGGGGTACGCCGGGGGGAAGGCAGGGGTACGCCGGGGGGAAGGCAGGGGTACGCCGGGGGGAAGGCAGGGGTACGCCGGGGGGAAGGCAGGGGTACGCCAAGGGGAAGGCAGGGGTACACCGAGGGGAAGGCAGGGGTACGCTGGGGGGAAAGCAGGGGTACGCCGGGGGGAAGGCGCGCTGGGGGGAAGGCAGAGGTACGCTGGGGGGAAAGCAGGGGTTCGCTGGGAGGAAGGCAGGGGTACGCTGGGGGAAGGCAGGGGTTCGCTGGGGGGAAGGCAGGGGTACGCTGGGGGGAAAGCAGGGGTACGCTGGGAGGAAGGCAGGGGTACGCTGGGGGGAAGGCAGGGGTACGCCGGGGGGAAGGCAGGGGTACGCCGGGGGGAAGGCAGGGGTACGCCGGGGGGAAGGCAGGGGTACGCTGAAGGGAAGACAGGGATACGCGAAGCGGGAAGCAGTGAGTGGGTTGTGCTGTGTGGGGAGAGGGGAAAGCATACAGTGGGCAGGGGGGAAGCGGGAATGCGTGAGAGCGGGGATGCGGGGAAGCGGGCAGGTGGGGAAGCTGGGTTGCTGGGAAGCGGGGAAGCGGGGAAGGGGAGTGCTGGAAGCAGGGGGTAGGAGAAAAAGGGGAGGGGGGGTTTGACGTATGCAAAGAAGAACCCAGAGTGCGAAGGGCAGACGGGAGAGAGTGAGGGGGGGGGAGGGGAGGGCATGGGGCAGAGGGGGAAAGCACGGGAGAGAGCACGAGCTAGGGGGTGAGCTCAACTTCCCCCCCTTGTCTGAGCTCAACTTCCCCCCCCTGTCTGAGCTCAACTTCCCCCCCTGTCTGAGCTCACCTTCCCCCCCCTGTCTGAACCGGGGATGACGAGAGCCCGCCTCGCACCACCGCCCTGTGAACCCCAATGCGCGTCTGATGCCATGCAATGACTTGTAGTGCCATTCCATGCCACACCATGCCACGCCGCGCCATGCCATGCCATGCCGCGCCGTGCCCAACCATGCCATCCCATGGATAAAAAATACACATCACACCATGGCAGGGATATGCCGGGGGAAAGGTAGGGATGTGCGCAGCGGGACACAGGGAGTGGGCCGCGCGTGGAGGGAGACGGGAAAGCGTTTCGCGGGCTGCGGGTAGCGGGCAGTGGCAGCGGCGGGAAGCGACACGCGGGCAGCGATGGGCGACGGCGCCAGAAACGGGCAGCAGATGCGCTTCCAGGAAGCGAACGCGTGGAAGGTAGGAAGCGGGAAAGCGGGTTCGCGGGGAAGCAGGTAGGCGGGAAAGCGGGGGAGCCGGAAAGAGGGGAAGCGGCGCCGCGGGAAAGCGGGGAAGCGGGGTCGCGGGATACCGAGGAAGCTGGGACGCGGGATCGTGATAGAGCAGGGAAGTGAGGAAGCGGGATAGCGGGGGCGCGGGGATGCGGGGAAGCGGGGAAGCAGAGTTTTTAATGTGGGGACTAGGGTAAGCGGTGAGCGGGAAATATGTGAAGGAATACTAAGGCGAGAGCGCTTGTAAAGTGTGGACCGATTCTGGCAGAGTAACGCTATAGGAACAGCGTGCTAGGCGCTGGTGGTATTTGGGCAGAGTTCGACATTCGAGTACTTGATCAAAATTCGAGTAGAGTAGAAGTTCACCAGAAAAGTATATATAAAGTACAACCAAGCAAGCAAATATATATGCAAGCGATATCCAACCACCCCGAAATTGCCGAAGGGTTGAGCGAACTCTAAATTTGGCGGTAGGCGCTGTGTTTGGGGACGAAAATGGCAGGGAAGGATTCATGATGCGTAAGTACATAATAAATACCAAGAAGCTTGGGAAATGATCAGAAAGGGTCCTCGCTCCGCTAGGGGTGTCAGCAAAAAAGTGTCAAACATATGTGTGTATGTTTAGTAGACTACATAGGGTCATGCCATAGAGAGTACAACCCATTGGCTATATCGCCCCGTCATCCAGCGCCTAGCCGCCCCTAGCCCCGTCGTCTCGTCACCTGACGCCTAACGGCCCCGTGGCCCTCGTCGCCTCGTCGCCTTGCGCATAGCCGTCCTGCTGGCCCCGCGGCCTTGTCGCCCCTAGCGTAGCCGCCCTGCCACCCCGTCGCCTAGCCGCCCCGCGGCCCCGTCGCCCAGCGGCCCCTCGGCCTTGTCGCCCAGCCGCCCCGCGACCTCGTCGCCCCGCTGCTCCGCGGCCCCGTCGCCCAGCCGCCCCGCGGCCCAGTCGCCTAGCCGCCCCGCGGCCCCATCGCCCAGCTGCTTAGCGCGCCCCCCCCCTCCCCTCCCCCCCCCTTTCCCCCCCCTCCGCCGTGTTTCCCGCTCCCCGCTCGCTAAACCGGCCCTCTCCACCGTCTTGCACCGCGCCACACCGTGCTGCACCGCTCAGCACTGCACTGCACCGCGCCCCAACGCACTACACCGCGCCCCACCGCAATGCACCACTCTGTACTGTATGGCACCGCACTGCACGGCGCCCCACTGCACTGCACCACTCTGCACCGCGCAGCGCTGCACTGCACCGCAATCTATTGCACTGCACCGTACAGCACTGCTCCCCACTTCTCCTCGTCGCTCCGTCCCGCCCTTCACCTCCTTTTCGCGACTGCAGCGGCCTTAATGATTGACTCGGTGCTGCGCTTTGACGCAAAGGGTCAGCCGATTGAGTTCGACGCATGGCTCTTCAACCCCCGCCGCCACCTTACTGGTCAGCGGCAGGACGGCCACTCCCTCGCCGTCCCCATTGTCGGTACGCTCCCCTGCCGTGACCCCCCTGCTGCTCTCCTCGCTGACCCCACGTCTGCTGACCATGAGTCCGCCGCCGCTGCTGCCCTTGCCCGTGCAGTCTGGCTGTCGCGTGACGCTGTCGCTTAGCTCGTGATTAGCCATGCCCTCCCCCTGTTTGAGCGCCCCCGCTTTAAGTCGGCCAGGATAGTGCAGGAGTTCCTAGAGGCTGTTGTCGAGCGTTATTCCACCCCGTCCTCTGCCTCTCCTGGCCGCCTAATCCTTCCCATGCTCTTCCTTGATCTCGCGTCTTTCTCCACTGTCGCTGACCTGGCCACGCACCTGCGCACGCTCGACACGAGCTGGCGCGCTGCCTGCACTGAGGCCCAGCTTCGTGTGTTCCAGCCCCCATATCTGCTCTACCCTTTACCTCCTTGCCACCCGCCTCCCTGACCGCCTTGCTACTGCCCAAGACCACTTTCTGAGTCTGCACCTCGCAGACCTCACCCTCACTGACTTTGTCGACACCCTGTCTGCCATAGAGACCCGTCAGCGCTCTATCGCCTAGTCTAGCGGTACTGCGCCAGTCCCTACCTTTCAGGGTTGTGCTCCCGCTCAGTGCACTTACTCTGTCGGTTCTGCTGCTGTAGCTGAGACAGCCCCTGCTACTGAGACCATTGCCACGGTGGCCACAGCGCAGTCCCGTTATGGTAAGGCCCGCCGCCCCAAGGCAGAGCGAGGCAGTGGTAGTGGAGGAGGGGGTGGAGGTGGTGGTGCAGGTGGTTCATCCGCTGGCGGTAGTACCGACGAGGGGGCTGGGCTGGTGCCTTGGAGCAACAGCCCCAGCGGGAGCAGTAGCAGGCGCCACAACTTGACCAGCGGCAGCAACAGTAGCAGCAGCAGCAGCAGTCACAGCTGAGGGTCGACCACCTCTCGACTAGGTGGCCTGGCGCCGGTGGTGGTGGTGGTCGCGGTGATCGTGCGCGTAGCTCGTCGTCGGGTGGTGGTGTGAGTGACGGGCGCTGCCAGTACCAGCTCTAGACCGGTCCTGGCCGCGGCCTCGTGTATGGTAAGATTGGTCATACCCCCACTCACTGTTTCAGTCGCTTGGACGACCTGTTTTGTCTCCGCTTCGGCCCCGCGCCAGACAACCCCGACTGGCACGGTCTGCTCCGCCGTAGTGTTAGGATCTTTGATATGAACATGGATGAGATTAGCTCTGCGTTGTATGTGCTGTATGTCGATGACTCTAGTGTGACCGGTTCCTATTACCCCGTGTTGCCTAGTGTAGGTGTACCCAGTGTGCCTAGTTTAGGCTCCCCTGCTGCGTCAGGCGTAGGACCCTTTGCTTTGTTTAGCCTTGGCTCCACCCTAGCTCCTTCGCCCCCAGCCGCCACTGCCATGCTCTCCTTCACTCTCAACTCTGGCGTGTCTCGATGTTTCTTTCGGAACCACACTACGCTTACACCGCTTGCCGTCCCAGCCGCAATCGCCCTTGCAGACCCTTCCTCAGGTCCGGTAGTCGCCCGTAGTTCCACCACCCTCCCCTGTCTGGCAGTTCCTTCGGGCTCTCTTACAGGCCTGCACATCCCCTCATTCTCTCGGAACCTCGTTGGTGTCGGCTGTCTTCAGGACCTCGGTGTCACCACTACGTTCCCTGGTCACGAGAGGTACACTGTCTGTACCGAGGCCGCCACGGTGCCCCCCTCACCACGTTCCCCCGGGACCCGGTGTCTGGCCTATTCACGCTGGACACCGCGTCCCCCCCCCCGTTGGGACGGACTCACAGGTGGCAGCGTCTACCCAGGTTGCTGCAGCTTGCTCATGTCGGTCGCTTACTCACCCGTCGGTTCTGTGGCACCACAGCATAGGTCACCCTGCCCTCACACGTCTCCGTCACATGTCTCAGCACGGTCTTGACTTAGGTCTCCCTGCGTCGTTCCCTGCGCTCCCCTCCTCGGTAGTGCCTCCGTGCACCCCCTGCGTCGAGGGCCGGCTCCGCCGTGCCCCTCACTTCTCCTCGTTCCCCCCCACCACCGCACCGCTGCAGATCCTGCACATGGACGTCTGGGGCCCCGCCCCTGTCCATGGGCCGCGTCGTGAGAGTTACTTCCTAGTGCTTGTCGACGACTACAGTCGCTACACCACGTGCCTGACGTTCTTATCCCGTGGCTTGTCTCTGCGCGTGTGCACCGAGGTCTCCCTATGTTGCGTCTTCACTCCGACCGTGGTGGCGAGTTCGCCTCTGGCTGCCTTGGTCGCTTCTGTCGTGCAGAGGGCATCACCCAGTCGTACACACTGCCGGACTCCCTGCACCAGAATGGGGTCGCAGAGCGACGCATCGGTTTGGTCATGGAGGTCGCTCGTACCTCCATGATCCATGCCGGTGCACCCCATTTTTTGTGGACGTTCCCCGTTTGCTACGCCGCCCACCAGCCTAACCTGCGGCCGCACCCTCAGCGGCAGCAGGTTTCGCAGACCCTTCTCTGGACCGGGTCTCCTGGTGACGCGTCTGCGTTCCACGTTTGGGGCTGCCTTTCTCACGTTTGGCACGGACTAGCTCACTGCCCGCACTGTCCCCTATGTCTTCCTAGGTCTCCCCCTCGACTCGTCTAACTGGCACTTCTACCACCCGCAGTCTCACCGTTTCTTTCACTCTCGCGACGTCACCTTTGACGAGTCCGTCACCTACTACCACCGCTTTCCCCACCGTGATCCCCCATTTACTCCCCTCCAGTTCCAGGTTCCCCCTCCCCCGGTCGCCCCTGCTCCTACCCCTCCACGTCCTGCCCCGTCTGGTGTGTCTCACGTCACCCCCCTCCCGTTTGTTGTCCCTGCCGAGGAGTCTGCTGACTCTCGTGGCTCAATGGAGTCCCTTCAACCGCATGTCCCTGCCCTGGTCTCTCCTCCCCTGTCTCCGATGTTGCTGTCGCAGCCGCAGCCGCCATCGCAGCTCCCGTCGCCGCCATCGTTACCACCGCTGGGGTTTGTGCATTCTGGGGGTGCTGGGGAGCGTGCCGGAGCGGGTACTGGAGCGGGTTCCCATTATGGAGGTGCTGGCATGGGGCTTCACGGAGGGAGCCGTGGAGCCGCTGGAGGTTCTGGTGTTGGCGTCGGGCAGCAGCCGCCGCAGTCGCGGACGGTGTCCGCTCTTCGCCTCCTCGGCCTTACTTCCCCTAAACGCCCGCCGGTGCCTCCTCCGTCGCCACCGCCTCCTCCTCTGCCGGTCTACGGCCCTGTGTTTCCTCTAGTGGACTATTCTCCGGCTCGTTTCCCTCCTCGTTCTCCTCAAATGTCTCCTCCCCTCTCTCCTGACCCGACCCCTCCGTCTCACGTCTGGGCTCGTCGTCCGTCTCGTGCTCGTCCTACCTCCCCTGTTCTGCATTCTCACCCTATGTTGCTTCGCTCCCACGCGTCTCGTGCTCCTCCGCTCCTCCCGTCTCCTACTCCGTCATCGCTCGCTGTGGCCCCGCCTCCGTTTGCTGACTTCCTCCATGCCGCGCGTCCCCTTGTTCCTCGTGTCCTTGCCTCTCTTGTTACCGACCCGTCCATTCCTGTCTCGAGTCTGTCAGCTCTTATTGCTGCTGTCACAGACTTTGCCGCTACCCACCGCCTTGACTACGCCACTGCTCTGGTCTCTGACCCTGCCTGCCCTCCGTCCGTCGGGGGTCTGGCTGCCCTTGGCAGTAACGTCCTAGAGGACAGAGAGTACGAGCTTGCTTTCTTGTCAGAGGCCGCTCTCCATTTCTGTTCCATGCTGCTAGTCCCTGAGGGTGACCCAGACGCCCTTGATATCCCG